GGTTTCTGATATTCATGTTTAGGTGGAAACATTTTATAGGACATTGAATATTTGGATTTGGATGTTTTATTTGGAGAGCTATAAAAATCTCTTTACAAGGGATTTTTAGGGATCCAAGTTTTATCGTACAATTTTATTTTCTTTTGCAACTTTTACATTCCTCTATACAAGTCTCCATTGGAGCAATTAGATCAAGATTTTTATTCAAGTATTTTATTTTATCAGGTTTTTAATCTATTGTCTCTTTCTTTATAATTTATTAAATCACGTATGCTATTGCTATGATTTATTTGATTTCTTGCTTTCTCACCATGAGTGAGTAGTTCCATAAGGACTAAGGGTCATGAACCCCATCAATGATTATCCGTAGGAATTAGATTAAGTCAGTCACGAGAATTTCGGCACTTGTTTGTTTAAAAACCTGAGTTTTAGATTCAAACCGATTCAAACCTCGCTATAAAGTAGGTGAGTTTTTAGGTTTTTACCTTAATCTGAAAGGATAAGTGTAAACACCAGAAAGCAGTTTTAAAGAATCAATTTCGAAGTCACAAAAATGATCGAAAGAGATTGAGAAATTATTCCTATTCAATAGTTGTGCAAAAATCATGATCACTGACAAATACTTCTGCGTGAGCAAAAGCCGACGAGCGTCCCATTTGTCAAAGATAGTGGAATATGCTGGCGAAAGTAGGTATTGCCCATAATAGTGTATTTTTCTATAAAATTGTTCTGAAGTTCTTGTAATAGAAGCCTTAAGCTATACGGGGAAGTCATAGATAGTAGTCATGACCCTAAAGTCCTGTTTATTTTATTAATTTCCAAGTTATTTGCTATTAAGCTATTTTCAAAAGTGCTTTTGAAAATAAGTTGTTTTGACTTAAGTGCTTTTTCACTTAAGTTTGTTTCTCCCGAACTTTTCAATTGCTCTAGATTTACAATGATAAAATAGAAATCAATATTTAACCATTGGCCTTGTGGTTCGATAACTCTTTTTTACTACTTGACAATTGTCGTATGTTTGCAGCGTGTCACTTATACAATACACAATTGACATAAGTATATCCAATACTCTTAATAATGTTATTTATATCAATTATGACATGAAGTATACATCTTACCTCCATTCCATTTATGGATAAATAAAACTAGTATTAACAACCATTTTTGTCACCCCTTTATGGCTCTTAAAAAAACTATACAATTAGTAGTGGCATGATTATAGGAGTTGTTCAACATTCAGTATCTTTCTCCATTGATTTATTCGTCTAGAGGAATCTTGTGACTATGTAATAGTCAAGTTTTCTTAACTTTAAGCGTATAATCAAATATAAGGTCCACTTTTGTAATATCAAAGGCATATTTATCCATCTTCTGGTGCCATTACCTTTAGCAAGTTTTAAGACATGATGTAAATCGATTTTCCTTTTGAGGATCTCAGATGCTAATATATATGGCGTCGAATTGACTAACATATCATCATCATATTCCTCAATATCAATGATGGAGGCCTAGATTGGAATTGATGGTCATTGATGCATATTCAAAATCAGAGAACTAGACTAAACATTTTCCATTCTTCCTTATGAACCTTTCGATGAAGTAAGTAACCACTTCATCCACCCACTGTTTCAGGTTTATTGGATAGACTATTATAACTTTGGATGAAGTTGATGAAATCTGTCATAGAAACAACTGTAGTATGTGGAACTCATTATGATTTCCCTCAGTGTATTGAGTAGTAAACCTGTCATTATTCTCCATAGTTAATTTGTCATATTTATTAAAAAGGTAACAAAGTTTAGAGTTATGTAACCTTGGGAAAGATATACCAAATTTTCCACCCAATTAGGATATGATTTTCTATACATAGTTTTAACCATATGCTTAAGTTAAATTGCAAAGTACCTATTGATTGTATTGGCTATGAGATTAAGATCTAACACATGTTGTGTAAGCGATCTAACTTTAGTTGCGGCTAGCTGGCGCTACATATTATATGGGGGAGGGGGATTTGAAAACCTTGTTATGATTGAACATGAGGTGAGGTGATTCCTCCATGACTTTTATTGGTTCACCACTACATTGTTTCTCGCATGGATTTAAAATACTAACAATGTATGAAATTGGTGTAGTGAATTTGCAATTCTTTCCACTTCACCAACATAACCAACATGGTATGGGTGTCTTTAAACTCATAGAGGGTGGTACCTGTACATCAAGCCGAGACATGTACCTCATGATATTTGAATTTTTCGTTGGGTTAAAGGTGTGTCTTTTAGCATAAGGTGATACTTGTTTGCATATACACATCATTTTCCACCTGATTCCTCATAGGGCTACCTGAGAAAAAAGTACTAGGCTAGGAATTACAAAGAGCAGAAGGTATCTATTGTATTGGGGAATCAGCTGAACCTAGGAAGACCTTTTTTTTCTTCATATTTATTGATTTTCTTTTGGTAGAAACGTGTGCCTAACTTTCGTTTGCTCGAACTCCTCGAGTAACAGATATAACATAAATGTCATCTAAATTGGCTTGCTTGGTCTCCATCTCATTGACTTGTTAGACCTTATTATAAACCATATATTTTACACAATCAACAAGTTATTTAGAGACTTGATACATGGTGTCATATATCTTCGGGTCTAAATGTTGTCAAATGAAAGACATTGTCATTACCACGAGTTCCTGTGATGGGAAGAGGCACAATCGTTGTCATTTTTATTGTTTGTGAAGGCTCACCCGACTGTTGTTGGTCGGACCTCCTTGTAGAGGATGGTGATGGTTGACCTATGTTGCTAAGGCCAAGAGTAGTCATGATCTTGTGATTGATATTTTGAGTCGCAATGGTTGTAGTGTCCCATCAAGCGTGCTAAATATGTTTTCGAATTGTGAAAGTTTGACTGAGAATTGAATGATAGCTCTCAAAAGTGATTTCCTTTTCTTCAAGCGACTGCACTTTGGAATGGACAAGTCCATCCGGTTTGGGTTCCTTAACAACTCTGAAGAACGTTAAGTTTGGACGTAAAGATGTTAAGCTACTAGCATAAGAAATGCATAAAAATAAAAGCAAGAAAGAAAAATCGCATGAAACTGCTTGATTAAATGTATCTAATAATTTACAAGATGTGGTATTTGTTGAGAAAAATCTCATATTGACCTGTGACCAACAAAAAATATTATACTCAATCATTTACGTTAATAATTTATAAGTATTCTCTCGGACTTGAATCCCCTGTATTCAAGGGAATTCTACTGTCACACAGTAACTGTTTTTAAGCCACTAGATCATATTTTAAAAGTTCAGATTTAATGATAAACAAATAAATAAAATACACAATAATTTAATAATTAAAATGAATGGTCAGAATTTACCTGCACTCACTATTTGACTATAAGAAATCTATTTTCTTGTTCTCTTTACTTCAGAATATATTGTGTACCATATTCAACTTGCTTTCTTCTTATTTTCACCGTGTTTCACAAATTGTATCCTTGTACACACAATTTTTTCAACTTATAATTTCATAATTTTTCTCATATTTAATTAGTGACGCTATTAACTCAAAACATCATCATATAGTCAAATTATTCACTCATAAGAACAAAATAGACACAGTAAACACAATAAAGATTCAGTTGACGAGCAATTTTTTCTTAAGCACAGATACAAATAAAAATAGGTTAAACACACTCACATAATTGAAAAAAAATAAATTAAAAATAATTTAGTCAAATTATTTTATATTATACTTACTTGGACACAACCCCAAATAAATACCAATTTTTTTTCTTTTTTTTTCAATTCTATGAACATGTCTAACCAATTTTTATTTGTATGTTTGCCAAAGGAAGAATTGCTCTACATTCAATTGTGTTTTATTAACAGAATAACATTCAGCTAACCATAATAAAATTGTCTATATGCTTACATTTTAATTATTTTGAAGTGTAAATAATAAGTAATAAACAAATTTAAAAACAAGATGTGACAATGTGTCCATGTTTCCTAATAATAAGGATATAGACATTAAATTAAAATAAAAAAATAAAAAAAGTTGAATAATTATTGTGATTGGTCCCTTGTCGACCGTCGGTGATCTCTGAATGGATTTTGTTTTTTATGTATGAAATCAAATCTGCGTATGATACAATTATTCAAATAAATATTAATATTTTTGAAATCCACCTATTTTTTGTTTTAAATTATTCCTCTTAGATCCATATCTCATGCCCCATCACCGTTACTACCTTACCTTCACATTTGACCAACCTTCTTAATGTTTTCTTTTTCCTTTCCTTTTCTTTCAAACTAGACTTTAATACTTGTTCTTAAACTGTAAAAATAAAAATATTTTGAATTTAATTAATTAAAATTATTTATGGGTTTATTAAGATGTGAAATTGAAAAGAGAAAAAAATATTTATTTAAGTCACGAGAGTATAATGAGGTGTTCCACATAGTAGCAGCGCCAGCCATGGAGAAAAACCAAACCTAATTTACCAAATTTTCACACAAACATTTTCCTTTTCTTTCTCCATTTCTAAGATCTTTCCTCTTTCTTCTCTCAATTTCATCTCAGATTCTCCTCTTTATCCATTCTCAATTCACTGCAATGTACTCAATTTCATCACTCATCCACAACTATGCCTGAGGTTAATTTCAACCCTTTTTCCCTTATCTTTTAGCCCCATAATTATTGCATGCATTTTTCTTTAATTATTTCTTCTGGGTATTTTTTTAATTCTAAAAATGGTGCTAATTGATGAAAAATAGGGTGGTTTTTTTTATTGTTTTTGCCTAAAATTACAATGTGTAAAATTCAACTGTAACATGTAGTTTACCTTGTTTTACATGATTATACAAAATTGGGTCGGACTAGATATTATTTTTATAGTATAAAGTTTGAATTTTTAGGTGATTTGAATTTTGAAACTGTGGATTATAGTAAAGGGTTATAATGTGTGAATTTGATGACATTTGAAACAGGATATTCCTAACATGAAGGACTCTTGGTTTTTCGACAAGAATTTTAATGGATTGTCGGATGAGATTTTCGATGAGTTTTGTTTTTTCGATTTTCCGTTAGAAGATGTCGAGACTAATCCTGTTGAAGAAGATTGGAGTGCTCAATTTCAAAGCATTGATGAGCCATATTTTGATGCTTTTTCAGTGACACCAGTGGGATCGTGTGGCAAAACCAAAAATGAAAATCCTCAATTTGGGAATGGCTTCTCTGCTGCTCCTGTGAGTATTCTGTTTGTAGTTTTGCTGAATTGGAATCCATATTTTGATGTCTTTTATCTACTTAACTTATTATTTTCTGATGTATGTATTTCCCGTCTATTAGTTGTTGTACTCCTATATGTTAGAAGTTGCGACTAGCCGTTTTCGTATAATAATGACTTAACTACATACGAGAAGCTGAAACAACATGAATTCGTCGGCATTAAGGACAAATTATGATTTATCCACATTTTTTGAAACTCAGTTTCTGACCATGGCTGTTTTCTTTGAGACTATCTATGCTTAATGAATGAAATGTTTCAGGCCTTTAGTAGGAAATGCTAATGTTGTTACTTAGACTGCTAGAAATTTGTAGTTGGATTTTCCGCAGCTGTCTTCTTGGTACTTGGGCAATTATGAGCAGGATTGTCCATGGTAGATGGCGGTCCATGGCGGAGAATCAAAATCCTGCCATACAGAATGCTTTGTGGCGTTGGTATAGCAGATTATGGCGGAAAAACCTGCAATAACGGCCAATATTTACCATTGTGGCGAGCCTGAAAACTGCCATGTATATCCATCATAGCGCCGCAATTGCGGATATTTGATAACACTGACTATGACTTTTCACAATTAGAACTTTTGTACGACCAGTGGCTTACTAAAGTAAATTTGAATGGCGTCAGCTTGGAAATTTGTTGGAGTGACAGAAAATATCATAACCAAACTACTTTATGGATAAAAGAAGAGACATGTAGAATGATTATGGTATGATTTAGGAGAATGTGATTGAAAGAAATGGGTGTTTCGTGTTTTAGAGATTCACTTTTCACGCCTTTTGCTTAATAGGAAGGATTTCTGAGCAAATTTAATTGCCATGCCTACCCAATGGCGGATTCAAAACCCTGAGTAGGTAAGGGCAGTTTAGTAAAAGATAATAATTGGTATCATACACATGAGGATATGGGCAGCCTACCTTTTTCTCGATCTCTTTGATCTATTCTATCTCATCCTTCTCGGTCGTTTATAGCCTAAACGATCCGTGCCATTCGCGGAAAAAAGGCATCGATTCTATTTAATTATAGTTGTTCTGTATGATTTTATTTTTCGAACCATATCAGTAATAGATTAATAATCACAAATCATATCACAGAAAATCAAATCAAATCAATAATGGTCTTCACCACTGTTATCAAATATCCGCCATCGCGGCGCTATGACGGATATACATGGCGATTTTTGAGCTCGCCACAATGGTAATTTTTGCCCGACATTGCAGATTTTTTTGGCATAATTCATTAATTAAGTTGAAGAAACATCTTTCGTGTAAGGTGTCTGAAACTAGATTTGGAAAATGTTGAAGTTTCAAGTCTCTTTAGTTACACACTTTCTTAAGAGACAAGAGTTCAACTCTATGTATCAATTGTTGCAAACTGAAACTGTAATAAGATGCAAGTTCTTTGAGACTTAGTTTTCTTGGTCCCTATTACGATGATTTGACTTGACAGCATCTGATAATTGATAAGTATAGTATATGATTGTGTGTTTTTTCAGCGAAGTAGCATATCACCTAGATTCCTCTTTTAATTATTGATTTAAATAATCGCATCCGTTTTTTATATTTCCTTTTTCGTTGGATTGATGGTAACTTGGCTTTGCAGCGTAATGAAATGTCCTCAATAAAAGAAGTAGCAAAGACTATTGAACCAATATATGGAAAAACTATTCCCAACCAGGATGCTTCTTTCTATGAGAAAAAAGCCATGCGTCAATACAGTCCTGTTTCTGTTTTCGAAGGCAGTAGTGGTGCTTCCTCAGTTGAGAATTCCACCTTTGACCTGCCCGTCTTCCCAGTAAAGCGTGCTCGAAGTAAACGCCGGCGTCCCTCAAAGTCAAATCCTGTATTGTCATTTTCTTTCAAACCTAATTCCCTGACATTGCAAAAACATTATAAAACACCTGTCTCTAAGAAACAGAGAAAAAAGGACGACTGCGTGCTCTCAGGTGATGCTGAGTCGGGATCTCAAGAGTCAGTTATCTTCAGAAAATGCACGCATTGCGAGATCACAAAGACTCCTCAATGGAGAGAGGGACCTAATGGTCCCAAAACGCTGTGCAATGCTTGTGGCGTTCGGTACAGGTCTGGCCGCCTCTATCCTGAATACCGTCCTGCAAACAGCCCCACTTTTGTAGAATCAGTTCACTCAAACTGTCACAAGAAAGTTCTGGAGATGCGAGGAGGCGGTGTCATCAAAGGAGGTGCTAGAAGCTGTTCTACGTCGCTGCCATCAACTCTTCCCGGAAACTCGGTAGGACAGCATTATCATGGAACTTATTGAAGACCAAATGGTATACTAGTACCAGACATGATCCTATTTTGTCTATTGTTATATTACTTAGCATCATTTGTTTAATTAATGTAAATTGATTGTTAAAATAAACAAGGTAGTAGTTGCAGCAGATCAGTGATTAGTGCTTTTGTTAGGCATTGAGGAAACAATGTGTTAAAAGTTGGAGAGGTTGAGAAAGGTATGTTAATGTAGAAATGTCTAGTTGGATGGATGGATGACATGGCTTGGCATGGCATGGCATGGCATGGAAGTGAGGTTATATATATATATTATGGCTAAGTAGAGACAGGAATCCTTTGCATTACTTGCTGCATGTGCTATGAGGACATGAAGTCAAAGGATTAATTAAAGGCAAGGACAATGTATCACATGTATTGTAACATGGCACAAAGAAATTATAGTGGAAGAGCACATGCATTGCTGTTCCATTGTTATATTTACAGACAGCTTCAACTTGGGTTTTGTTATTTTACCTACCCTTTATAAACAGATTATTATTAGAATTTGTATTTTAGTTTGAACTATAGTTTGTTTCATAAGGATATTATCTGTATTTTTGTTGTGATTTTAATTTGTACTTGGTACTTTATATTTTGTACATTTTAAATATTTTTATTTTTATTTTGTTGAGTAAGGCATGTTTGTTAACTTTTCCATTTAACTGTTTTTTTTTTCTTCTTCCTATGAACAGCATATTGAAATTTTCATGTGAATGAACAATTAAAGACTAAACTATCATCTGTTTACTATTTATTGTTGGCTCTTTGGAAGGCTGTAATGATGATTGTTTGTGATACCATTTGTTCCAACTGTATTGCTTTCACTTTCTTGCTTTTAGAGTCTAGTGCTTATGATGATGTATTTGATAATCCTTCTGTAGTCTCTAATTTGTCCCATCTTAAAGTATCACCCTTCCTAATGGTTCTAAGACACATTACTAATATTTGTCAAGCTTCATCTTTTCCTTGTGTTATTTGTATTGCATTCTTTTTTTAAGGTTTTTTTAATCAATATATAATAAAGTTTATTCAGAAATTAAAGACAAATAAGTAATAAGTTGTGCTACTACTTTTTATTTTTTAATAGTAAAATCAATTCTCTTAAAAACTACATCAATTGATCTAAGAGATACAATATTGCTATTTGTAACACTCCAATTCTATCCGACAATTATATATGCAAATCAGAATCATAAAATTCATGCAACTAAATCAGGATGTCACAAATTCAACTTTAAAAATACATTGCATTCAACGTGGATAAATAACACTTTAAAACTTCGGATGAACTATCAGCATAGTAATTTAATCTCTTAATTCAACAATTTAAACATCTACGCAGCGGAATTCTTAATAACATCTTTATCCATCGTTACAGCAACTTCAAAACAACACATACTTAGTAACAATCAAATTAAAGTTCAACAACTGAAATAATCAATAGTTAAAAGCAACAAGCGTTCATCCTCCCGAGTGTTACGTATCAGAGCAATGACACCGACTCGAATTATTGAAGGTATACAACCTTCACTTTGGATTACCTGCATGTTACCAACGTAAGGGTAACATTCAAACAGAAGGGACGAGATATCTAACAATATAATAAAACGTATGATAATTAATATATTAAATTAGATCACATAACACCACCACTTCTCATCTTATAAATAACAATAATCACAACAGAAATACCAACAATATACACATTCACCGCATTAATACACAACTTCTTTATGCAATCATATAATGCGACTCAATACTATGCAAATGCATGTGGTACCATTGGAGCAGAACTCCCATCTCAAATAATTGCCAATAAATAGAGGCATCAACAAGGCTAAGCCTTCATCTTATTATTCGACAATACATGCCATCTTAACGAGCATCAGCTCCATCTTGAAATATAATGTATGCGACACAATCATGAATGTAATGACAACACCATAATTAACAACATCTCAACACAACATCATCGTTGGCCAGAAGCCTACATCTTAATAGCCGCCAATTATTAGAGGCATCTCAACATCTTTCATCAACATCATTCATCAACATCATTGATCAACATAATTCATCAAACATCATTTATCAATATAATTCATCAAACATCATTTATCATCACATAATTCATCAACATAATCTCATCAACATCATTTATCAACATCATTCATCAACGTCATTTATCAACATAATTCACAGCAACTCAGCCATACAACAATACAGCAGTAGATCGTCAATCTCGCAACGTTGGCCATATGCCTACAACATGATATTGCCTATAATTAATTAATCATATAAGGCTTATTCCTAAATTACCAAACCTCTACATATTATTCATTATGTAATACTACATTATTATCATCATTAATCTTGCTGTTACGAACCAAACAGTAATCTATAATCATCTCATCCTCATCATTCTTCACAAAAATCAACATAGCGATTAACGCGGGAACTAACTCTAATCCTAATTTGGATACTAGGATTATCCTTCCTATTCTTCATTTTGATCCTTAAGAATGGAGTTCATCGCGTTAGCTATTCAACGCTTCGAACGACACCTCAAACAGAGTCCAAAAACTCAAGATACAACCTTTTCAAAATGATTCTGTCAAAAACCAGACTACATGAATCGATGCGTAATGTCTTGAGTCGACGCATACTGGACTTAACACGCTACATGAGTCGACGCATACTCCCTTTGTATTGACTCATCCCGAGTTTAAAATCTTTCATGTATCGACGCATGACTCCTTCGTATCGACTCATCCTGAGTCTAAAAGCCTTCATGTATCAATGCATGACTCCTTCGTATCGACTCATCCTAAGTCTAAAAGCCTTCATACATCGACGCATGGCTTTTGGGGTCGACACGTACTGTTCTGTCACGGATATTTTCTGCGATTTCACTGTGTTTTCACTACGGTTTCCATACTTTAGGCCCTAAAAACATCCTATAATCATAGATAATCATCAATTATAATTATCCTATAATTTTACATCAAATATACAGCATTAAGGCATCATTATTCATCTTTCAATCATCGGTTCTCATCAAACAACAATGTATATAATTCAATCATAAACCAAACAATCTTTCACATCTAATCCCACATACCAATCATCATAAACCCTATTATAGAGTTAGAACCCCACCCTTATATTGGATTGAAGGTTGCTCTATAACTTTTCTGGTTGATTTCCGTTCTGCCTCTTTTCCTCCTTTCCAACAACTTTCACGTTCTCTTCTTCCAACCCTTATTTCTTTCTCTCTTACCGCTTCTTCTTTTCTTATTATTTCTAACAATAATAAAATAACTATATAATTCTCAAAATACCTTAATGGGCTTAAGACTACTACACCCCCTTTTTACTACTTTTATTCCTTTAAAACAAGCCCATATCAAATAATATTATCATTCTAATATTATTCCACAACTTAATAAAATAAATAAATCCAACTAATCACAACACATCAACTATCATCATAACACAACTTCACAATTATTCCAAAAATAATTTAATTAAATAATTAATTAAATTACGGGCATTACAACTCTCCCCCACTTAGAATATTTTCGTCCTCTAAAATTTACCTTAATCAAACAACTCAGGATAGGAGTCCCGCATCTTGCTCTCCAACTCTCAAGTCATGCTTTCTCTGGAAGCTCCTAGCCAAACCACTTTAACCAAGGCAATCTCTTTGCCCCTCAGAGTCTTTATTTCACGATCCGTGATCCGTACAGGCATCGTCTCCACAGTAAGGTTATCCCGTACTCGCACATCATCCATATGAATCACATGAGATAGATCCGAAATATACTTCCGGAGTTGTGACACATGAAACACATCATACAAATTCAAAAGATTAGGCGGTAAAGCCACTCTATAAGCAACATTCTCCACTCTCTCTGAAATCTGATATGGTCTAATAAAACGAGAAGTGAGCTTCTTAGACTTCAATGCTCGGCCAACACCAGTCACAGGTGTAACTCTTAAAAACACATGGTCACCCACTTGAAATTCTAAATCTTTCCTTCGCTTGTCATGATAACTCTTCTGTCTACTTTGGGAAGCTTTCATCTTTTCTCGAATCAACTTCACCTTCTCAGTAGTCTCACGAACAAGTTCAGGCTCAAGTACTACACTTTCACCAGATTCACGCCAACATAAAGGAGTACTACATCTTCGACCATACAACGCTTCAAAAGGTGCCATCCCAATACTGGAATGGTAACTGTTATTATAGGTGAACTCTATCAACGGAAGATAAGTATCCCACGAACCTCCCTGCTCAGGAACACACGCCCTCAACAAGTCTTCCAATGATTGGAGAGTCCGTTCAGTATGGCCATCTGTCTGAGGATGATACGCTGAACTCAATCTCAACTTAGAACCCAACGCTTCTTGCAAACTCTTCCAAAAATCAGAAGTAAATCTTGGATCTCTATCTGACACAATGCACAAAGGAACACCATGCAGCTTCACAATCACACTAGTGTAAATCTCAGCCAACTTCGACACTGGAAAACTGATGTTAGTAGGAATAAAATGAGCCGACTTCGTAAGCCTATCAATAATCACCCAAATTGAATCATGTCCTCTTATAGTATTAGGTAACCCCGTCACAAAGTCCATCGAAATTCTATCCCATTTCCATTCTGGAACTTCTAACAGTTGCATCAACCCTGTAGGCTTCTGATGTTCAACTTTCAACTTCTGACAAGTCAAACATGCATACACAAATCGAGCCACACCACTCTTCATTCCAGGCCACCAAAACAAACCTTTCAAATCTTGATACATCTTTGTAGCTCCTGGATGAATACTCAACTTACTACTATGACTCTCTTCAAGTATCACTTTCTTCATCTCAGCATCATCAGGAATACAAATCCCGTTACGAAATCTCAACACACCCTGCACATCTAGCTTAAAATCATTATTCTCATTCTAATCGATTCCAACCATCAAATCTACCAGTTTCAC